TTTTAGGACGTGTGGCAAATTTTAGCCTGGAGGTCAATTCCACTTGGATACACCTACAGTTACACAATCGGGTTCACCGTTCTTCCGATGAGGGCGCCACTGTTATATACAGATGTATATAAAAATAAGTATACCAGTTGATATACCTCAGAATATTTTCTAATCAACTAGTCTCCGAAATTTGGCAACAGTGTACGGAGGCCATTTAATGCCACGAGTATGTATTTCTGTAAATGTACTTTATTCAGAGAAATCTTATATTTTTAATACGTTAATGAAATAATGATATAGGAATATGGTATAACTGGACTCCTGAATAAAGGTATTATTAAGAATAATAGACGTATCTATGGGTATACAAATACAAAGTGTAAGTCATAGAAAAAGTGTAAGTGTGGACATCAATGTAATGTAGACATGAATTAAATATTTAATAACAGATGGTAAAAAGTAATCTACTAATTGCAGGTTAATTATAATTTTGTTTTTCAGGCTTAGCGCGGTTGATTAGCACTGTCGTTTTTAGGAAAATAATATAAATAGTATTTTAAAAGAAAGAATTGAACCTTCACCTCGCCAGACTTTTCATTTTGAGTGCGTTCCACTTTTGAATAATACCAGTGGATTTAAAGAAACTAAGAAAATTGAATGTTTAGTTAATTTTAACATTAGTAATTATAGTTATATAGTTTATTATAAGGCATTAAAATGAATACCTGTAGAAATATTTTATTATAAAATTTTTATAATAAACGGTTTATTAGATACTAAGAAATTTTAGCAGATTTGGTGTTCATAAACACTATACAGAAGTTTTAAAAATATAGGTTAGGTATAGGTATTTATAATAATAAATTAAACTGAATTTGACAAAACATTAAGTGTATATATAAAATAAATAAAAATTATACTAAACTATTATTTTTTTTAATTAATAAAACATAGATAAATAATGACTGCGTTTATTTATAAAATAATTATTAAAAATTATAATTAAAAAACACATTTATAAAAAAAGACTAATACTAAAATTAAAGAGCAGCTAGGTAAAAATAGTACCCATTGATAATGAGATAAACAAAATTATAAAAAAATACATATTTTTTTAATATGGATTCTATAAAATGTCTTTATTAGGCTCCGCAAAACTAAGCTTAGAATTTATTTTTAAAGCGATTACAATTTCCAATCCCTGCTGAAAATGACGGATGATTGCGGGTTTCTTCGTCAAAACCGGATAAAATCAGATGATTGCGGGTATAAATTCTTCGTCGAAGCCGGATAAAAGCGGGTAAAAATATCATCTGATTACATCTGCTTTTGTCCGCATCGCTATATCCGCGAACACCCGGTTGGTTGTGTTTTATGTCCGGTTAGTGCACCTCCGCAATCATCTGTTTTTAACCGTCTTCACTGTGTTTCGATTATATCTGAATTTGTCCGGAATCATCTGCAAACGTCTGCTTACGTCTGGGTTTATCCGCGAGCATATGCTTTTACCCGCAAACGTCTGCCTAGTCCAATTTCACCCGCCAACATATGCGAACATCTGCAATTACCCGCGAACAACTGTTTTTATCCGCGAACATCTGCAATCACCCGCGAACATCTGCAATCACCCGCGAACAACTGATTTTATCCGCCAACATCTGCAATCACACGCGAACATCTGCTTTTACCCGCGAACGTCTCCTTTCATACGGTTTCACCCGCAAACATGCTTTTATCTGCGAACGCCTGATATTATCCGCAAACATATGCTTTTATCGGCAAACATCTGCTTTTATCCGCAAACATCTGATTTTATACGCAAACATCTGCTTTTATCCGAAAACATCTGCTTTTATCTGCAAACATCTGATTTTCTACGCAAACATCTGCTTTTATCCGCAAATATCTGCTTTTATCCGCAAACATCTGCATTTATCCGCAAATATCGAAACTCGATCCTTTTTGATCACGAAAACAGGAGACAAAACCCTTATCAAAAATGATCAAAAAGGATCGAGATTTAAACTCGATCCATTTTCGATCAGTTTTTTTCAGCAGGGTTATTCCAATAATTCCTTTTAGAGTTATAAAGTTGTGTGCCGTGAACGGCTAACAACCAGTTAGTTAAAGCTCAGTAAAATTTGACAAAGCAGGTAAACTAAACTAAAGTATACACGAGAAAAAGGAAAACAAAAAGCGCTAATGAAACCAGACGTTTGCGTACGAAACAGGACCGAAATGGACAAAGGAAATGCAGGCAAACCGAACGCGGATGAAAGCAGAGGTTTGCAATTAAAAGCAGATGTTTGCAGATGTTCGCGGATAAAAGCAGATATTTGCGGATAAATGCAGATGTTTGCGGATAAAATCAGATGTTTGCGATTAAAATCAGATGTTTGCGATTAAAATCAGATGTTTGCGGATAAAATCAGATGTTTGCGGATAAAAGCAGATGTTTGCGGATAAAAGCAGATGTTTGCGATTAAAATCAGATGTTTGCGGATAAAAGTAGATGTTTGCCGATAAAAGAAGATGTTTGCGGATAAAATCAGATGTTTGCGGATAAAAGCATATGTTTGCGGATAAAATCAGATGTTTGGGGATAAAAGCAGATGTTTGCAGATTAAAATAGATGTTTGCGGATAAAAGCAGATGTTTGGAGATTAAAACAGATGTTTGCGGATAAAAGCAGATGTTTGCAGATAGAATCAGATGTTTGCGGATTAAAACAGATGTTTGCGGATTAAAGGAGGCGTTCGCGGATAAATGCAGATGTTTGCGGATAAAAGCAGAAGTTTGCGGATTAAAGCAGACGTTCACAGATAAAAGCAGATCTTCGTGGGTAAAAGCAGATGCTTGCAGGTGAAATCGGATGAATTAGAGTTTTGCGGACTAAATTAGATGTTTGCGGATTAAAACAGATGTTTGTGGATTAAAGCAGATGTTCAAAGATAAAAGCCGATCTTTACGGATATAAGCAGATGTTTGCCTATAAAATAAGATGTTTGCGGATAAAAGCAGATGTTTGCCGATAAAAGCAGATGTTTGCGGATAATATCAGATGTTTGCAGATAAAAGCATGTTTGCGGGTGAAACCGTATGAAAGCAGATGTTCGCGGATAAAATGAGATGTTTGCGGATAAAAGCAGATGTTCGCGGATAAAAGCAGGCGTTCGTGGATAAATGCAGATGTTTGCGGATAAAAGCAGAAGTTTGCGGATTAAAGCAGACGTTCACAGATAAAAGCAGATCTTCGCGGATAAAAGCAGATGTTTGCAGGTGAAATCGGATGAATTAGAGTTTTGCGGACTAAATTAGATGTTTGCGGATTAAAACAGATGTTTGTGGATATAAGCAGATGTTTGCAGGTAAAATCGGATGAAGCAGACTTTTGCGGACTAAAGTAGATGTTTGCGGATGAAATCAGATGTTTGTGGATTAAAATAGATGTTCGCGTATAAAAGCAGATGTTTGCAGGTGCAATCGGATAAAGCAGACGTTTGCGGATAAAATCAGATAAAACCGGGTGAATGCAGATATAAACCCTTATACAGGTATTTGCGGATGAAACCAGTTGAAAGCAGACATAGACTAAACAGATAAAACCCGACGTTCGCGGATAATATTTATACCCGCAATTGCAGATAAAAACCGACATGCCGGGTAAAATCAGATATGTCGGATGAAAACAGATATAAATGGACAGCCATTTCATGATGACGGACGCTACCATTTGACCAAAATCTTGTCAAATATTTACAAAAAAATGCCTAAAAACTAAAACTGATTTTAAAGCTGATATTAAAAATTGAAAGTGGAGATGAGGTAAAAAAAAATAACATATAAAATAATTATCTGACATTTAGGGATTCCAAGATTTTACTTTTTAAACTTAGATGACGGACGCTACAAAAAATGGAAGTGAAATAAATTTATTTTATGTTTCACCTGAATATTAGCAAATTGATAAAAGATTAAATTTAAACTTTATTATAATATATTAAGCATTGGACTAGATAAATATTTTTTATTTTTATTTTGTATTTAGTTTAATAGATAATATATAAGTACATGAAATATGTGATGATGGACGCTACATGACGGACGCTACAAAAGTTCCACCAAAATGCTAATCTTTTATTTCTCAATTTAATTCAAATAAACAACCAAAAACTTCACTAAACAAATAAACTCTACATTGAACAGTAAAATATGCCACTACTTAAATACAACACATGATTCGTAACTGGAATTTCTTGTTTGAGCGGTTTGCAACGAATTGGAGCTTAATTTCATAAAAAAGTGTTTTGATTGGATAAAAGGAATCTTCTTAACATTAGCCCACCTTTTATCCAGCATCTCTTTTATATTTTCAACATCCTCAGCACAAACATATATTAAGTTGATAGTAGATAATTGCCCTTTGGCACATTCAAAGAAGTCATGGGCATTTGACAGCTCAATATTTTTACTTCTTACCTCTCGCCAAACCGTACCACGCCTCCCAGTGCATCTACAGCACCCTTTAATTTAATTTAATTTTAGTATATTTTAATGTGCCTTCAACAGGCACCAGGCCCAATTACAGAAGTACACAACAAACACAAATAAACAGCCATACCCCTGGTGGGATTCGAACCCACGACCTCTCGGCTTGTAGTCCGCAGTGCGGACTACTGGCAAAAAAGTTCCATTCAACACTAGGCAGGTTGAACTCTAAGTACATCATAGTAACACAAATTTGAAAGAGTATATTTATTTTTAAATTGGGCAGCGCAGCCGTCTGAAAAGATCACTGTTTTGCATAAATGTTGTAATAGATGGGGATAGTTCAAATAAATTTTCTAAAAAATTTCTTGAAGAAATACATAAACTGCGTACTTGTCATGTCCCATGTAATCGCTTATAATGGCAATAGAAAAGGTCTGCTGTGGTGTCCAGACAACACAAGTAAATATTGTTACTTGTTTGTGAGACCTGTGTGTCGATTGAATTTAATTTTGAGACACTATCGAGTAGTTCTCAGCAAAGTCAATTTGCACGACAAGAACTTTATCTTCGGCAAGATGAACCTTTTGTTCATCAAAATACCGTTCTTGCACCCTTTTAACAAAACAGTGTGTTTTCAACACTTTAAATTGGCTCTCTAGCGTTTTGATCACTGAAAAAAGCGAAGCTTCTGTAACTTGGACCTCATTATCTTTCCACTGCTTGTACTTAACAAGTATGTCGTCCAAATCAAACATATATTTAACTGAAATCAAAGAATGTGAAATGTCATAATCGCAGTTTTTGTCATACACTGTTCTTCATCTATATTGCAACACATTTGTTTCAGGAAATCAGAACTGCTTTTCGGAAACTTCAAAATATTATTTTGTATTGCCTCAATTAAAAAATTAAAATTCGCGTGATAGCGACATACACACACGTTATGCGGCATTTATGATGATAACAGAACGAGCTTGGGGCGCAACTGGTAAAATTTAGTAATCTGAATATTTGTATCTGGGAATTCTTGCTTAAATAGTGTAAATGCCTCCTTAATCGTCATTATAAGATGTCTTTTTTGTAACGATTCTCTCTTACCAATAATTGGATTTTTGACACTTTTTGTGTCTCTCTTTCCTGGGGCCTGTCTGCTAACATCATCACTTAGGTAAAAAATATTGACAAGTCTAACATCTTCAGTAGATGTAGTAAGTCCATGAATTATTGTGGGCTTCTCGTCAGGCAACTTTTCGGGGATAGTTTGTAAAACTAACTTCTGCACTACAATTTTTCTTTTACGAGGACTTCCTGGTACGTATTTTTAACTTTTTTTAAAGCTTTACCCAACGTTTGAGGACATCAGTAAGGACTATAAGACTGCTCAATATTTTGTCTCATTTGTTAAATCTTTGATCTGTAACGCCTAATTCTTTCAGTAACTTTTAATTTCTCAATTTTTCGTAAATGACTATCAAACTGCAACTTTTCTTTTTTCTTTAATCTTTCGGCATCTTTTTTTAAAAGTGCAATTCTTGTAATTTCGTCACTTTTATTTTTTTCTCGATAACGTTGCTCGGCAATTCTGTTTTGTTTAATGCGCTTCTCCTCTCCTTTTGATCTGTAAAAAATATTCCACCGGTATAAAAATCTCTCGAAAAATCTTTAAACAAGGTTAGAATGGGCATTTGTGTGTTTTTAATTTAGTCTAATTTAAACGTAAAAGAAGATAAATGAAAAATCTAAAAAAATATTACTTAAACATTTTTTGCTTACGGACTCTACATAAAAGTTTAATTTGAAAAAAAATAGATTCTTGACATATCTAAAAAAGCTTAATATACTGACAAGACGCAAAATGTGTGTTTTTAAAAATAAATAATTTAGTCAAAAATTATTTATCTTTATTAAGAAATATTAAGTATTACATCTTTTTGATGACGGACGCTACACTAACAACATAAAATAAATAAAGTTAATAAAAAAATACTACTTACCCATTTTGATTTACAAAATCGTCACCAAACACTCTGATAATTAATATTTTAATGAAATAAAATAATGGCAGTTGTATAATAAATGACATAATCACTGAACAATAGCCTGCTAAATAACTTATGTTTTGATTCATTTTTTTAGGATGCGTTCGCATTAAGTAAAATATTGTTTTAAGGGCCTTATAATGGAAAATATATTATTTTTATATTAGATATGTAAAATTTAGACTACGTGCACAATATTTCATATTAAAGGTATTGCATATAAACAATTTTAAATTGTGCTCCTTAGTTTCAAATTCTCTGGAATGGCTGTGGACATAAAACTAGCTTGGTTTTTTTATCCGCAATCACGTTTTGAATAATTCAGACATTTTATAGAATCCATATTAAAAAAGCTAATAAACCATGTTTTTATTTATAATATCTTATTAGCTTATTATAATTATCAATGGGTACTATTTTTACCTTGATGCAAATTATTTATTAAATTTAATTTTTTAAAATTTTATTTATTACAATTATTTTTATTGCAAGGCATGGTTCTTGCATTTACTGAATAACATAATACACTTTTGTTTTTTTAAAATTAACGCAAAAACATATAATGCCGTAGTTATTTTTAAATTTAAATTAAAGGTGCTGTTGGTGTTTTTTCTAATTTGGTTTTTATTACAATTATTACGCACTATTTTAATTATCTACTTAAAACTTCATTTATGGCAAAATGTTTAAACTACATTACATTCTTAAAACATGATCGTTTAGTTAAAAGCAAAAAGAAAATTTTTTAGTTGTAGATTTTGAAAAATTATTAATTTTTTCCAAAGCAAACGATAGATAAGTAGGTACACGAAAATTTAAATTTTTTGTGAATTTATAATATTTGTTTAAAAACCCATTTTAAAGAACAAAAATGATGTATCTATATATACCTACAATTTATATCTAAATATATTATATAATAATAATTATTAATAAAAGAACCAATCCATACCTTAAATGTTAAATTATAAATGTATTTATATATTTAATGAAATAAATATATTTTGGAGGAGTCCAATTAACCGATAAATGCAATCATCAAAATACATAAAAAGGCTTAAAATGAAAAATAATATAAATACATGTGAGGGTCAGTGCGGCAACGTCGCTGGAGGCAAGTTCAACCGAGGCACCTCTGGAAATATATTCACAGGAGGCAAAAAGATTGTCTACTGTGTGGAAGCGACTTCACCTTAAGCCTTATCAAAAATGTGTATAAAAATTCTTTCTTTATTTTTAAGAAAAGTTTTCCCCTCTCAGGTTGCTCATATAAAGAAAGACTTTATTAATTTATTTCTATAAAAAAAACTCGTAAATTCCTATTCCTTCTGGTGGAGGCCAGGTCTCCTTCGAACGTATGGAGCCGAATAAGATAGGCGTGCACATATATATATATATATATATATATATATATATATATATATATATATATATATATATATATATATATATATATATATATATATATATATATATATATATATATATATATATATATATATATATATATATATATATATATATATATATATATATATATATATATATATATATATATATATATATATATATATATATATATATATATATATATATATATATATATATATATATATATATATATATATATATATATATATATAGTTATGTAAAGACTAAAGTCTAATTTCTAACCAAAACTTGTTAGAATATCATATCTGGAATAGATGTGGATACAGAAGTTTAGTGTGCACCTGTATAGCAATCGAACGTAACGACTACCTATAGGTTATATATTATAATAATAAAATTAGTAAAACATGGTGATAATCTGTAAATCGATTTATTCATTTATGTTTTTAAAATTGCTTATTTAAAGGTTGAAAAAATGATAAAATTTTTCATATTGTTTTTTTATAGGGGGGGGGGGTGAAACATAAAAATCAATGTTTTAAAATAATAAATCTTTTCATCAAACCTTTATTAATCCAAACTGTCCCAAATGATACCCATGGTCGGACGTGTAGACAATATATGTATTATCCAGTTCGCCCAAGTCTTTTAATTCTTCGACGACCCTTTGAACTGCCGCGTCTACCGATTGTAAAGTTTGAAGCCGCTTAGTCATAAGTAGATCCGTAAATTCTCTATGTATCGGTTGCATTTTTTGTGTCACCCTTAAAATCCACTGTTTATCTTTATTGGGCGCATGGTCGTATGAAGGAGTACTGAAACAAGAGAGATTATAATTAAAACCACTTAAAAAACTGGATGTCATTTAATTTGAAGTGTAAAGCATGATACAAATTGGTATCATGCTATAAAGTAAAGTAAATATGTCTAATAGACAGTGCATATATGACATATATGGGTATATCTAAACTGGCAAAAAGCTCTCCAATACGTTTTAGGGGAATCCCGGAAGAATAGAAAAATATTCTTCTACGATAATGAAGGAGTTATTGGCCAAAAACGTAATCATAAATTCCCAACATTGATACGGTTCAATAAGTTCAATAAGCAAAATCATTGTTTTCATATAAATCATTTATAAAAATGTAATTATTGCATAAAAGGGTCCCATTATTGTGGTTATGGCAGATTATGACGTAGGTACTGAGATATACAACGGGATATCAAGGTACCTAAAGAATGTAGTTGGGTGATACCAACATCGATGTACATGATCATGTATCATATCATTGTACAGGTACATGTATAGACTGTATAGAATCAAGTAAGTAAGGCTGGAGACAAGGATGACAAATTATATTCTGATCAGAGAAAAAGAAACAAACTTTAATTGGGCGTGGTTTAAACCAAGCCATTCGTAATTACGAACCATAGTTGCCAGGTTGTTTTAAATCAGAAGAGAACGATTATAATTATTTAATAAATAGTTCAATTTTATTTGTTTGAAACTTTAAAAATAACAAAAAAATTAATAATATGTCAAAAATAATTTGATTTAGTTAATTTTCTTACTTTTAATATTAAAAAAAAAGAAAAACAACCCTTTTAGGAAACAATAATAGCATATGGCAACAGCGCGGCATACAGCCGGATTGTAGCACTCTGGGTAAAGGCCTATTTGGAAACATATTTTGAAATAAAGTTTGTATTTGGCGATACGATCTACCAGTGTGATGCCATACCATAATTTGGTATTTTTCCTCACGGGTAAAAACCATTTTATTTGAGAAAATACTTTTTTATTCTTACAAAGACGTACGCAAAGTCTCAATGCACTTCTTAAACTGTTTTATTATCTATGACTGACGCACAGATCATACGACATTGTCGTAACGACAATGATACGGCGAGCAAACGAATTCAATCCCTACCACAGTGGGCGGGGTTTGGCACTTGTTTTATTTAAGTGTATCTATTCGTTTTAATACACACTGTATTTAGACAGCCCCTATTGAGTTTATTATATGAGATAGGAAAAAACTTTAAATACAAAAGTTGTAGGGTTTGTCCTAAATCGCCAGAAAATGTTACGTAAAATAACAAATGAATATCGCAAATATTCATTAAGAATGAGTATAAGAACGTATGGCTGGCCCCATCGTTCATCGCCTTACTCTGATCTCCCAGAGTTATTTTTACCAACTTTCAGTTTTCATACGTATCCCACAACTGTGTTTGATGTATCTCCCCTAGTAAATCTCTCTTGGGAGGTCGTGAATAACAGTTTCGATGGTTAAGGAACCTCCCGGCCGGAATATTGTCGCCGGGCCGGGCCATACGCCCGATATATTTTATTAAATGCATTAAACGCAGCGACCTATTGTAGTACGTAAATATGATTACTTTTAGCAGTGTTTAATGTTCCCATGTTTCAATAAAGTGGGGTCCCTTATAAAAAAGGTGGAAGCATGTCAAAGAAGACTAAGCTTACAGGTGTTAAGAAGTTAATTATCTTGTGTATGGTTTCTTATATAAAAGAAACATACCAGAATATAGCATTACTGTTCAGCTTAACTAAACTTAATAATATCTCTTTTAAATTTGTAAACGGAAATAGACGCTTATAGCATATATGCAAACAGTGGTGCAAAAAATTTAATCAAGTTAAAGTTTAAAAAAATGACGAAGTTCACAGTTTTTTCGTAATTTTTAAATATGGGATTTGTATTTTTTTAGAGATATAGTAATAAAACTAAAACTAAACATAAACATGATGGCACCAACTTATTTTTTTCCAAAAAAATATTTTTATCTTTAAAATACCTTTATAATTTTATGCATATTTTTATA